ATATTTTGGTGCACGGTAAAGAGCCCCGGGTGGTCGAAATTTCCGATGGCCTTCTTATAATCGTCTCTTATAATCGTACTGTGGTTTTGTGACGTTAAACCCAACATATCAATCAACACTCTAGCGTTTCGATTGTTAATGGTACGCTCGCTAGTCTCACGAGTATTGTGTTGCATCACACGCCTTGCCACATACTGAAGTGCCACTGCGTCACCTTTGTTTTTTACCTGTGGTGAAGTTGTTCTCGACCTTTCTGTTTTTAAATATTCATTTGATTCTTTCAATCAGCCTCTCAGGGGTCTGCGTAAACCAGTGGGTACCAACTTTTCGCGAGCGGGAGGAGGGGGACCCACCGGAATTTATTCTATTATATATATATATATTATATATATATATATAGATATTATATATTAGATCTATTATATTAGAGTACGGACGAACGTTGTTTTGACGGCATATCCCGGCTGGCGAACACCCTTTGTCAAATAACTCACAACAAACATATATATATTCTAAATATTATTATTATATATATCTATTATATATATATATATCCTTATATATATATATATATTATTATATATATATATATATATGATATATATATATATATATATATATATAATTTTATCGATGGGCTCACACTTTGATATGGATTCGCATACACAGAGATGACTCGACTCGCTTTCTTAGCGCACCATGAAGTTCAATCACATTTTAACTGAGTCAAGGCGCCCTTAGCCCGATTTCCGCGTCCAAAATGATTAATCACACTCATCGGCTCACAACAGTTTTGACAGAACAGCGGTGACGATATATCCTTTTTGAAGAAAATTATTTTCCGGAGCAGCAAATGCTTTCGCCGGTCATTAAAAAGTGTGCTCGTTCCCATCCATAACTTCATCAACAAGTCACAGCAGAAGAAGAGCATGAACAAGTGATGTAATATTGTCACGTGCTTGTCAAAAAGAACGACAATGGACTGTTGTGCATGTGCCATGAAGTACAATGAAATGGATGAAAAACAAGAACTCTCTTGCGCGTTCCATTGAAAGAACCGACCGGCTTATTACTGCCGAACGATTCAAACGCCTGTTAATCTTAAAAATCAACGAAACATCACTCCTACAATCTGAAGAATTTCGGCACTTGCAATTCACATGAAACACCGCAAAATGCTTTTCCTGTCAATGTGAGGTGACCCTCACAAGCTTTCGCTGTAGAGTTCCTCGGTTAAATTTTTATCTCAACAAATCAGGATTTTCATTAACTAACCTATGTGCAGTTTGCAATGAACCCGAAACAATAAATCAGTTTCTTCTCACATGCCGCCGCTTCGCCTCACTGCGCCGAATAATTCTTAAAAGACCAACTGGTATGCTCGAATTGCCAGTCAATACATCCACCTTATTATCGTTTGGAGCTGCAGTAAGTTGGGTGTGGTCCGCAGTGCTATCCTGTCAGCGCTACATAAATTCGTTCGGGCAACCGGAAGGATACGCTGCTCGTGGTACTGCCAGATATATCCGATTCTTCGCCCCCTTCCTCGTTCTTGCTAATTTGTTTTATATAATCTGGTTTATCGAATTCTTCTGCACTTTTTCACGTTTTTTGAAAGGAACATTATTATTGTTCTTATCTAATTTCTTTTCTTTTTTTTAGCAAGCGTTGTGAAAAAATATCTATTATGAGGTACAGTGTGGCCAATTCCCCCATGTGGGTATGAGCCAAGATCTCCTAGGCGACAAGACAAGACAAGACAAGACCTGTTTCTGGTGTCTCAATCTCTTTGGCAAGACCTCTGTTTTGACGTCGTAACAATATCATAGGGCCCCTGTTCAGCGCTTGCCTGCTCTGTAATACTACAGCACTAGACGCGAAGGCTTCACATAGGCGATCCACACCACAAGGAGCCCACAGAAAAAATCATCACAAAGGAAATGTTGGCAAACTTTCACTATGTTGTAACATTGTCTCGTAACATTTTTATTCTCCCGTAAGGACATAATTGAGGGATTGTTGTTGTGACGGAAAACTTCACCTTACTTGTTGGATTCCCCAGCGTGCAGAAAGAGTGACCACTATCAGAAGTGGGGGGGGAGGGCTCAGCCCTCCCCCCCCAACTTTTCTCAATGAGAGATTCGCGCCCCCCTTGCTCCCCCGCCTGATACGCCTACGCCTAAAACACTTCGCAACACATACGCGCATGCATGGTGCACAACCTGTCTTTGTTTCATGACACTTTGAGTATAAGTACGAAAGTGGTGCTTATCAGGACACGATCATTATTTCAGTTTTCGATCATAATAGTAATTTCAACGATGATTTTCTCGCCTGCTTCCTGTTACAGAGAAGGAGCGCCATACGAAGCCACCGAATAAAACGGTAAAGGGAACCTTCAAAAGCGCAGTAATGATGCACTAAAGCTTGAGTTGCTTGCTCATGACGCTTTTTTAAGAGAAAGATAATACATTTACAACCTTTTTTATTGGACAGAACAGGAAAAGAAGGCCAAAATTGTTGGAGAATTTTCGCAGAGAGAAAGAGGGAGAGGGAGGGGACGCACATGCGCGATGAAGGTGTAAACCCCGCAGGGAGGGATGCCTAGAGGAGAGGGGGCGCAGCGAGCGTAGGCTACGCTGCCTGCATGCGTCGGCGTTGCGAGGTGAGAGAAGGAGAGTGTAGAAGAGAGTGCAGAAGAGAGAGGGAGGGGCGCGCAGGCACTCTAATTGCCGTTCACACCGCACAGCGGATCGAGTTCGATCATGAAAACGCTTCACATCTGAATATACTGAATGCGACGCAGCGGAAGCCATATCCACGTCTCTTAAGTTGAGTCGTATTGCTAGATTTTCCTGACACGTAATGACATTGGTTTGGGGAAACTATAGAGTTACGAACGTTACCGGTCACCCCTTTAATGTTAAGAAGCATCTAGACCGTAAATATCCGTCACATCTGACAAACACTGCACAACAAAACCTATAAAGTATCCAGATTAAACTGCAGGCTGACAATTTTACACGTCATACGTGTTTGTTATATCTCACGTCTTGATTTCCATTCACCAGCATACAGGTTCCGTCGCTTGCACGAAGCCGACGTTTCCTGGCATATGCACATAATCGTCTCGCGAAACGATGCGAGCAAGCAGTATGCTTATCGGTTCTATACCGGCATCCATGCACCAGGAAATACGTGTACGAGTCCTCACATGAAGCGGCCTCAGGGCTTTGTGACATCGACCACCGTATTTTGAGGGAAAGTAGAACGTAGGCGGTATGCAATACACAGCTTGCTCGCGCATTAAAGCTTAACGACCGATGCAGGAGGGAAGTTCCCGCGTACCTTGTTGTTTTATTCATATCTGTAATCTCACCAACGAGCGCGCGTGTCCTAATTAACTTGCCAGGCATAGAATGATCGTGTGTATGTCGCCGTGCGTCGCCTAGAATGTCGATGAACGCAGTTCCGGACGCTCGCCCAGCGAAACATCCAACGAGTCTGTCTGTGCTCGAGTCATTTAGAAAGTATACTTTGCATCTCCCTGGGAAAAGTACGAAATAAGCTTCACGATCACAGTATCACCGAAGTGGACTGGTGACCTGACAGGTGCTTTTTTTTTTCTCGTCGTAGTTTCCCTAGTTTCATACAACGATGCCCAACGATAGAAAGGTTTTAGTGTTTGGGCCCATTCGTATATCAGGTGAAGGATATAACTATTTCCAAGCTTCTCACTGTGTGCTTTGAGAATAGTTTATTTCTAATCATGTTCCTTTTCCTAGTGTCTGTTGATTTGCTCGATAACATAGTTTGTGCTGTCGAAACACGTTAATAATGGGTGCAATATTTTTTATTACCCTTAACGCTTGTAGTCCTTTCTTGCAATATTTAACAAACGCGCCTTTACGCATACGCACTGCTTTCGGTGTCTTTGAGGAGGCTAATGAATTCTTATAGAAATTATTTACATTTCTTTAATATTATTCCTATACAGTACAGGATAGTAACGAGGAGGATCTGCTTTCAGACTATGATCCAGGGAAGGACAGATTTGGGGCCTAATTAACAAAGCTCTTCCAACGTATGCGATTTTCGCGAACAGTAGGATTAATTCGATAAAATTATATCCACTCTGAGGACTGGCGAAAACACGATTCAATTAAAAAATTTAGCATAATATAATATTCGTAAACACAGTTCCGGATTCGCAATTCCAAAAGAGAATAGCGTAATCTACTTATCGGTAATCTTCCAAAATTAGGAACTTTTTTTACTGAGAGTTAGGCACGAAGAGGAGATACAGAACGAGTGTTCGAAAAGCCAATATTATTTTTATAAGGATTAACAAAAAATAGGAACATAAATTTGGATGAGATCTATGAAAAGGAGATGGAAAGGCTTGCCGTAAGGGGAGCGCGAAATGAAAGAGACGAAGGAAAGAACTAATTAACGCAGGCTCTCAACATCCCTTCCCCACCCGCACCTCGTCCCAGCACAAGCTGCAGATCAGCAGCGATTTACAGGCAGTTGTTCTTCTGCGCACCTGCATAAAATGACTCGCGTAGAAATATTAAAAACCATAATCCTCCATCTATATGTGCTCACTCGGCGGGTTTCTTTCTTTTTATTTCCCTTAGTTTCGGTTTTGTTCTCTAGCCTTCTAGTTGTGATGGTTGGTTGGTCTATTTCGGTTGGCGTCCCAAAGTTTCTCAGGCTGCAAGTTGTTTGCGGATAACGGGGACGACCTGGTGTCCGTTAATATGCTGTAATGTCGCACAGGACATGGGCCTCTAGCATATCCTCTCCATCGAAATGCAGCCACCGCGGCCGAGATTGAAACTGCGTCTTCCGAGTCGCCGTAACCACCGAGCCGAGCACAGCAAGCACTATACCAACGCGGCGGCACACAAGCTATTGATTGAAGCAATTTCCGTATACCGACTACTGCTAGGCAAACTGTAAAGAAAAAAAGTGCTCAGGGAACCAGCTCATCTTACCTTTCGTGCTACTGTAACTCTGCACAAGCCAGTCTTACACGCGCTTCAGGGAACTCGTCCTGGACCTGCAGAAAGGACGTAAAGGAATTTAACGATTAGACCATAAGAACAGCTGACTCGTAACTTGTTGCATCACGTAATCAATTTGTTTACCTAAAGTGGGCGCGTTAGCGACCCGCATCTCGTGGGAAACTTGTTTCTGTGGAGGTTAGTATTGGGTGGCAAACATCGACACTTCATTTTAGAGTTTCTTTCGAAAGCGGCCAGTTTAGTGCTACATTCTATAATTTTGTAATTGTTATCACCATCCCGCTTAACGTGGGTAAACGTGGCAGGTGCTTATTCATTAAATTCACAAGAGGTTGATGGCTGTGAAAGCAGCTATACTAGCAAACTTTAGTTTCAATTATTTGGCAAGATGAACGAAAATGAGCATCGCAAAAGACAGCTTCCGTGTTTACGGTAATAATAGGTTATTTCAAGACTACTATATCACTGCTTTGATGAGCGCTATCATTTCATAGACAAAGAAGTTGCACGATATCACGACTTTCAGCCTCTTTCGCGAGTACACACACAACGCCAGGCGCTATAGTGAAGAGAAGTGGAGCGTTGGACCTTTCGAGCTCCTGCAGTCTTGTGTCAGCAGAATGGAAAGACAAAAGAGCTCGTCCAGTACAAGCACCAGGAGAGGAAGAAAAAACCTACCGAAAGCCTCGGCAATCAATGCGGGCGCGAAAACACACAGGAACGCGGAGACAGAAAGAACGACGTTAGGAGTGTTGAGCAAACAGAACAAGTGTTTGCGCCACTTGCCGGGAACGGGAGACGAAGCAGACATAACAACCACTTTTACTTCCTAGCACGGAAATAATATTTACACGCGCACTATAGAAACGAGTACAGGACGGCGTACACGGCTTCGACGAAGAAATTCGCTTTGGTGTGGTCGCGAGTGTTCTCTCTTTTTTGCGAGTCTCGCAATCATCGCCGAAAATTTCTTCCCGGAAACTGCACTTCCTCTGCAAACATTAAGATGAACGTCTACGTGTTCCATCTTCTTCGCTCGCTCTTATTTTGGCAAATATGTGCTGAGTGGAATGGTAGATAGTTGAATTATAGTTTGTAGGGATTTACCGTCTGATAATGTAGGGTGTGTGAGCCGACGCTACTTCCTTCATAATGATGTGGGCGGGCCCGAGACAGGGCGTCGAACGAGATGAGAATGAAGATACAAAAAAAAAATGTTCCTCGGTAAAAATGTGAGCCGCGAAAATGGCTCGTTTGTATGTACGCACGAAGAATCGCGTAGTAAAGGCACAATTGCAGGCGTCAACGAAAGCTGGCAATTGTGTAAATTTAATTTGTCATCTGCGTACGATCGTTGTCATAAATAAAGAACTCATCAGACACGTAGAGTCTACACATGTAGAGCCATGTAACTGCATGGTGCATAATGCATGATGTGTAATAAAAAGAGAGTGCTTCCAGGATGTAAATGTAAGCACTAGCAAGGTAATAAAGTAGAATAAGAATCAGCAGGTAGTTTGGGCATGTAACAAGTAACTGAAAGAAGATTATGAGTCATTGTATCCCATTGTACTTTGCCTCAAGGCTATTCTGTGGTTCTGAGTTATTTTTATTTTGTCGAGCTGCACGTTTTCTTCAAGCCGTGTTTTTTTTTTCTCTGTAAACGAGTTTTCATCTGAAACCCAGACGTTATCCTTTTGAGGACTACACTTTCTTAGATCTGTACACACCATTGGGGTGCGGTCTCAATATAAGTTTGGCAAAAACTTTTGGCTATTAGTTTTCCGGGAGTATCTCAGACTGGTCTGAAATTTGCTCATTGATATTCTAACTCTAAACTATATTACCGGAAAAACTTGATCTTTACATTTGAGCTAGTAACGTAATGAGGCGAACAACAAAAAAGAGATAAAGAACAGATAGACTGACTCGCTCGAAGCAACGTGCGACATATTTGTAAATGTTGACACTACTTTTGTGGGAGACGTGGTAAATATAGAAGACTGCGCTTTTCTGAGAAAAAAAAAGCCGACATATTTTTCCCTACCACCATCGCCCTGTTTTGTAGGCGACTGTAAATCAGAAATACCGAAATATCTGAAGTGTATTCAAGATAAGCATTTGTGTATTTCGGCGGCTAGAGTAGGACGATTTGGTAATGGCTAGAAACTGTAAAGGTAGGAATACATGTCTCTTGAGCTCCTTTCAGGTATTGCAACCTTTGTTATCCGAACTGCAATGCAGACTTTGGTTGACACCCGAACATGGCCAGCTCTGACATCTTGGTGACATTTAATCGTACGCGTGGACATTTTGATTTTTTTTTCATACGCGTGTTTTACTATTCCTGAGTGAAAACGTTTTTGCACGGGAAAGCTTGGTATAACTGCGTGATGGTTCTACTCTTTTTGTATCGTTTCGTGCCTGTTCGCTGCGTTGTGACTGCAACTTATCTGCAAGAGATGATGAGACGTCGGCGTCACTCATTGACACCAGTGTTTCGTTATATACAAATAATAATAATAAAAAACAGCCAACTTAAAGTGTGAGAGGGCAAGAGGGAGAAAACTGGAAGAAACTTCGAGGGAAACTCGAGGAAAACTCGAGGTTCTCTTTCTATGCCATCGAACACCGCAACCTAGTATCGTGCTTCCGCGTTCGTGCGTGCGTGCTACCACGCAAGCGCAGACCATACGTATACATGCAGAGGGCCTTTCATGCGCGTTAGCGCGGAAATTGCAGTTGTGTAAGCTCGACTATAAAAGGCGAGGTATGCGGCTGTTTCTCCTTCGCGCTTCTGTTGAATAAAGTGGGCTTCGAAGTCACTGTATTGTTCTTTCTTTTTTTGTTTCGCTTAGTTCTATGGTGGCCATGCGGACGACTTTGGTGACGGTGTAAACGGTGAGGAAGTTGTTCTTTTTTCTTCTTTACGCGCTGTGCTTTTGTTTTGCTCATGCGAAAAAAACAAATAAATAATTCTTCGGAGTAATCGTTTCCTTGCATGTGACCTCGTGCGAAAACGGTATCAAACCAACAACGTGACAAAATCGGTCGGGTTTTCAGAAACTAAATAAATTGACTGCATCCTCAAGAAGGTAAACATGGCCTTAAAGAAAATGTTTATTGCTTGAAATGTGCAGGTTGCGCGCGCACGTGCGTGTGTGTGTGCGTGTACGCGCACGCTTGTAAGTACGCGTGCGTGCCGCACCACAAGAATACGGAGATAAAACGTGTCAACATTCTACAAAGACGTTACTTAGTTCTATACAGTAGCATAGCCGAGTCTTGCGTCATTCTAATTGCGCAAGCGAGAGCAAGCGTTACACACACACACACGCACGTGTGAGCACGCACAATGCCCGTGCATCCGACAACCATACAAGAACAGAGATTACACGCGGTCAGCATGTGCAACTCCACAAACTGGCAAGACATTCCAGTCAAGACGCAGGCGCTCAGTGCACTGCATATAACACAGCGTTGCTGCCACATACGGTAGCACTTTCTTGCACCATTTCTATGCATGTGATCGGGACCAGGCGTCATCTCTTTTAGAAGAGGTCGGGCGCTACTTTTGTCTTATTCGTTTTGAACCATTGCTCAGACATATCTTTGAGAACAGAACAAGCAAGAAAAGCCTAGAAACCGCGTATTACCCCCGTCACGGTTCCAGTAGTGCGGTTGTCTCCGACAGACATTGCACCTTATAGAGCTGTGATTTACACTGCAGACCGACTGCCAGGCTATACGACATATATAGCATATGTGCATGCATTATGCATACCGCACGGCACAAGCCCGTCAACAGACTGCGCACTTACGTCCCCGGAAAGCACAAGATCGTGTCGTGAGCTCTGTACCAGTTATAGAATAATATATTCAAAACTCGGCAGCGGTACCTTTATGGCCAACGTGCTCTGAATGGTGCGCACCTTCCAAAGCACCGCTTCTATACAATGGCCCGTGATGTCGGGTTTCCCCAACTCACGCGAGAACGACGGGTCTGCTGTCATTCGAAGCACCGTGCCATGCGAAAAAGCTTTCGAATGAAATCAAACAGATGCATGCACATGGTCAGCCAGTGCAAACTGAACTTGAATGACTCAATCAGTGAGATTCAGTGATATTCAGCTTCATTACTTGAAAAAACGTGGCGCAAGGTTAAAATTGAGAAGAACAAAAAAAAAGAACAAAGCTAACTCGCCTGTTTCTTCTTTGTTCTTCTCGATTTCAACCTTGCGCCACGTAATTGAAGTATTGATACACCAGCTTGCTCAATATAGCATAACGTCAAGGTTCGGTCTCGTTCAAGAACGGACCCGGGATACATTAGGGAACCCGTCCTGGCCGCCCGGTTAGGAAGTTGCCCTGTTTAGATCGAGGCCCCAGATTTATTTCTGAGTACACAGCACTTGTAATTAAATTGATATGTCCATTATAAGCAACAGGCGGACAAGATTAATGAACCTTGATTTTCACAACAAGCACATAGATCAAGAAAATATATCCAGCCGATAAATTAGCGTACACAACAGGCCAAGAAGACCGGAAAGCGGCTCGACTACCAGCATGCTAGTTGATGCAATGCACCAACTAGCCCAGCAACGAGTGTTAATAAAGCATGTAGATCAGTGAATTAACGACGGTAACGACGTATTCATATCCAGTTTTCTCTCAACCCGATCGAGAACTGTTTCGCTTATTTGGGCACACTCGGTTTGAACCAATCGGTCGTTGCCGGATCTTATTCCAAGGCGAGGTGTCTTCGTGGCGAATATCCAACTTCAAGTAATTTCAAAGTACGAGTTCCGAGAATTTTTTTCGCCCGAGTCCAATTCTATCTCAAAACTTCACATTCAACACGATTCTAGTTATGGGCCCTCGTTAGTAAACTCACAATTAAGCCTACAGCTTCTGACGACTTACATCACCGAAAACACATTTTTTGCACGCTTATACTTCATACAAAATAGCTATCGTCACTAGATTTGTGGTAAAGGCAGCACGCTAAGACGCTGTCGCGAAAAAGGAAGTC